CACAGATACAGGTAGCCTCATGAGTTGACGTCAGGTGAGCCTGTAGGAGGAGACGCAATCTTAATGTTAACAGATCTTTTCCTTAAGTTATATATTTTCTTACGGAAGCCCTAAGTGGACAAACCTCCTCCTTACATGCTGGCCGCAAACTGCCTCTACCATTACTCCAACATCTGCTTTAATTTCACGATTCACAGCAAACTCTTTCCGTTTTATTTGCTGAAAGCCATCAAAAGCTGCTTAGAAGTCAAAGGTTAAGCAAAAAAAACAAAAACATTTTTTTAACACGAGCACAAACTAAAAACACCACGACTGTTTGCACAGATCAGCCTGAAGCACCAGATCATCCTCCAGCTGGAGGAAATGTTCATTACACCACAGATATATGTATGTATGTAAATGCTTGGATATAAGATGTACAGAAATCAGCCAGTACATTCTTTAACCTCTGTGGCATTGATTGTATTATTTTCTCCTCTTATGCACTTAAAGTGTCTCGGATGTAAAACGTGGGAAAATATGAAGAAAGTTTGTGGAGAAACACTGAACTAATATAAATGAATAAAAGCTGAATAGATGTTTGTTAATGAGAGAAGCATTTTCTGTATTTAGTGAACTGTCCTCGTACTCAAACAGTTCTAGAGCCAATCAGAAAAAAACGTTAGCGAGAAGTCACTGCTGAAATGCATTTGTATGTGTATAGTTTTCATGGTGCCTTTTTCATTATGAATCTGCTCATTCTGCAATAAACATTTACAGAAATAAGTTCAAGTCATTGCTGAGTTTTTTCTTTTTAAACAAACTAATCCTGAAGGCTACCGAAAGTTTCCATGAAGACAAACTCAGTTTTTTGACCCCAAACACGGACAATTTAATCCCATCAGAAATGTGAATATTGGCTCCAGGTATCTGGTAAGGTTTCTTTTATTTACTGATTTTCTAAAGCAACATAGAAATTTGAAAAAGAGACATGTTTAAACATCCAGGGCTGCAGTTTTTATTTTAACATCTAAATAAGGTATTAAAGGAGCAGTATATAACTCTGACACCTAGTATTAAAAATGGGTACTGCAGTCTAAATTCTAAACATTAGAGAGGTTTTCATAGCAGTCAATTTGCTAGCTAACGTTATACTAACTGCTGCTGCAGCAAGCTCATTTGAGTTAGCTTAAACGGTTTAGTAGTAATTTAAACGGAGGGCTCTTGACTGCCACTGTTCTGAAATACTGAGTCTCTCTTGTGAAAGTGACTGGCGTTAGCTAGCTAACTAGCTAGCAAATACCTTCCTAGTTTTTTTTATGTCAATGACAGACGGTAAAACTTTCCAATCATTATGTTGGGGCTAAATTGTTAACGTAATCAAAAGTTAATGTTCTTAAAAGTTTTTAACTGACACATTCAGAGATGTAAAACACCTGTTGATATGTAATGCTGACGTCACATTAGCTTAAAAAGCTACTGAACCGTCTCCTAATGTCTAATTTTCAGATACAAAGTTGCATTTAATTCTGCTGCCGTTGTCACCTTGAATACAATTTTTAGTGTAACAGATCAATGATGCAAACCAAATGAGCACATTTCCAGAGAGGTGAGTGGAGAAAACTTCAAACTTTCTGTGGAATAAAAATGTAGTTTTATATCGACTTTTTGAGGGAACTATTTGAAATGTGAGGATTAATAGAGACAAAAAAACAGAAATGTAATATCGGGTTTTCGTGTGTTTTCTCCTAGCATTTCTTTAGTTTACACATAGAAATAAAAAGACGATAAATGTAATTGCAACATTTTAATTCGTTCCAACACACTCACACACACACACACACACACACATACATACTCACACACACATTAAAACTCTGTGACGATGATCTGAGTTCGAGATCTTCCCTCAAATTTAAGTGACACAATGCACAAAATGGCACCAATGACGAACAAGTTTGACTGGACACACACGAAGCAAGAGAAAAGAATTGTAGAAGAAGGTACGGTGCTGAGCGTTCACACATAGTCTGCAGGTTTTCTGTCCATTTTTCATTTTTGTAAATCTTTTCCACAGTCGTACCAAAGTGCGTCTCTCGGGCCAACAGACGAGTTCTCCGAGTCCTCGATTCTTTCTCCAAACAGCCGAGTCTCCAAACGTCCAGAAACTGAACCGTCGTCGTAGTGATGAGAGAGCTTCTGGCTCAGGTAACGATGATTCACATATACAACACGTTTTAAAAAAACAAACCTAAAGCGACATTCCCACAAGAATTACTTTGTAATGACGAGTAGAAACAGAATAGTTAAGCAGTAGTAGTATGTACAGTACATTTGATTTCTACGTGAAATGGAACTTAATTCAGATGGAGCGGCGACCAAACTAACAAACGGGTAAAGACTTCAGGTGATCGAACCACAAGGCCACAATGACGAATCATTTTCTGTAAATTAACACTGAAGTGTCCAACGGCCTTTTTAACACATTCATTTATTTTTTTTCTATTAAGCTCAAGGTGTGATCAAAATAAATCAAACATTTGTCGAAAGAAGCTTAAATACATTTAATACTTAAAGAGGTTTTACCTTTTTTACTGTTTTAGAATAAAGACTAAAGACCCTCAAATATGTGCAATAGTTGCTATCATCAATTAAGGGTGGCCGTCAGTGGTAACGTCGTCAATGCCCAGCTCCTGCAGCTACATGTCGATGTGTCCTTAGGGATGACATTTAACCGCAAGTTGATCCCGCTGCTTCTTCGTCGGCAGAGTATGAATGTGTATGAATTAAATAGTAAACACTGATGGACTCCTAACACAGCAGCCTCTGCAGTCAGTGGCCCTAAGTTTCTTCTTTCTTATATATTAGTTCGCAGAAGTGACCAAAATGGCCGCCACTCTTTCAGAATTTTTCAGCAGTTTAATAGTTGCTATACAATTTGAGAAATCCCAATTTTTGGATTCTTAGGTCGATGATCCAAGACAAAAGACTAATTGATTTTTAACTTAAATGTAAGAAGGTTGAAAACAAAACAATTTCCTTTTGTTGATAGGCCGTGACTTAAATTCTAATTTGATGTTTCACTTTTTTAAATACTTCAAAATGTCGTACAAGTGTTGTATTATATTAAGCTTTATATTTAATTTGGACCTTGTATGAGAAAGAAATACAGTTTAAGTCTTGGCTCTTACTTTGACCACACCTTGTAAATCCTGAATTAAGAAGTAAAACTTTGAATGAGGTCGCCGCCTCTCACCTGTTCAGATCACATTCTCTACAGTCATGAATGAAGTGAGAGATGCTGAGTTTTCTTTTTTGCCCTTTAAGTAAAACGATCAGTAGAAAGATGAAAATAAACAAAACTAATGTCAGTAAGTTGAGCTGACACCGCTGCTTCAGAGAATGGCTTTAACAACGTCCTGTACAGAAGTCTTGTTTCAGGGACAGAGATGCAGTCAGGATTAATTTTTACGTTTCTTACATTAACGCCTGCAGACTTTGTTACAGTGCCCACATTTTAAGATGTCCTTATTGGATTTTGAGGTTTTTATTAGGGCCTGACCGATAGGGGATTTTAGAGGCTGTTACCGATTTTGATATTGCGGAGAGAAAAAGTCTGATCCCCATATCTTTCTTATGTCATACATGAATAAAAAAATGGTGCTTTACTAAACATTTGAATAACAGCGTTCAGGGACTCTAACAAGAGCAGTAAAATAGTTTTGTTGTTGGATATTTATACTTCTATGAATAACCAGATTTATGTTGTATATTTAAACAAAAATTTAATTAACACTCAGTACGTTCACATGCAGTTAGAAATAGTAGATCTATTGTATCAGTCCGACTAAAACTGGACTTTGAAAATCCATGTAAATATGTTAGTCTGACTGAAATAGTACCAAGTCAGCTTTCTCAAAGTCGAACTAACACACACAAGATTATGCGGTCGGGGGTGGATTTTCTCTCGTTACCATAGAAAGACTTAAAGGAGCAATATGTAACTGACATTTAGCATTTAAAATGTGTACTGCAGTCCAAATTAAAAAAAATAATTGTTAGTGGAGCTTATTATAAAACTGCATAGGCTTTTTAAGTCGGGTAGAATCAGCTATAACGGAACTAGTCCAGCACTTCAACATTTCCTTAATGTATGATCATATAGTAAGGTAATTTTTGCACATTGCTCCTTTAAATAGGCATGTAAACATACTAAGTTTTACTTTGAATATAGTTAGAATTTAGAATACTGATGTAAATGGTGCCCCGTGTGAGGCCCGGGCTGACTGGCGATATGCTGAGCTGATATGTTTCTGTCTGTGAAGGTTCTCAGTGTTTCTGACATTCCCAAATTTAAAGACATACATCTTAATCAGTTGTTATTATTATTTCTTGTTGTTTTTTTCTGTCTTTTTTTCTCTCTGATAAACTATCCATTTCTCTGCTTTCTGTCCCTGCTCAGGATTGTTGCAGCCGATGCTCACAACACTCTGCTACTATAAAGTCAATCTATGTCTTCAGATGGAGATCCTTCGTGAGGAAGAGCCAGCGTTTCACAGGACAGGCAAACACGGAGCGAGGCTGCAGAAAGTTGTTCCTTTGTGTGTCAGCAGGTCGGGCAACTCCTCAGTGCAAATACAAACTACATCTCTACTTCAGTCTCTATAGTCTAAACTGGCCTCTAACACGTCCCACGATAGCAGGAGGCACTCGTGTTCCTGCAGAAAGGCATCGGATCCTTCAGCTGTCTTTGTGCCGTTCAGTTCTTGTGCACACCCGACAAACATTCTTACGTTTACGGTTGATTCGTCGTACGAAATAAAAAGGTCTGTATCCAGTCGAGCAGCATTTGGTGAAATCAGAAAAACTTTGAGAATCTGGAATCTGCAGCAAATATTTACCAATTGTTAAGCAAAGTGGCACAACCATCTATATTTATGTTTTCCAAGGTTTGACCGTGTTTGCATCTTTTAACGGGAAAAAAACATTACATTCAGAAAAGCATCTAAATGCTTTTAGTGTTTGATTAAAATCAGCTTTAATATAAAATTTAAAATTTTGTGCTAATATTTCCAGAACTTTGTCCTTTGTTGAATGCTTGCTGGGTTCTTCAGTGAATGTGATCCATGCAGCAGTCCTGGCAGTTGGCTAGCATGTTAGCAGTCGGTGTTTTGAATGTTTGGCAGTGTAACGTTGAAATTTACCGCCTACAATTCGGTCGTTTCATCACCAGGACAGCTGCTCACTGCTGAGAGGTGATTCATTCTAGCTACACTAAAACCTAGAGCTAACGGATGCTGAATGACGGTCGGAGTGGAGGAAGAGGCCAGCGTTCTCGCTGGTTTTTCAGCTACTCCTGAGATTAAAACAAAAACAATGTAAATAAAACTGCTGACTCTGCTCCACCGACTCGCCTCCTCACGTCATCTGAACAGGGACGGACACAGTGTAGACATCCAATCACAGGACGGAGCTCGTTAACGCTCCCCTGACTCCCCCCCCCCACACACACACACGTTGAATCAGTCCGGTTCAGAGGGTTCAGGGTGTGTTTGTTCGTCAGTTCGGCTCTTTAAGGCAGATCCCCGTCCCATGCTTTAATTCAAACATAATACTGGATTTTTTTTTCCTCTTGTCGTCGAGATGTTAGGCTGTTGTTTTTATTTTGATACTGATGATGAAGCGGATCTTCTTCTGCAGAGAATGGATGCCTGAAGCACAGGAGGCCGGTGTGTTCGCAGCCTGCAAGACAACGAGAAGGGATTAAATCACAGCTAGTTTACACAGAAATATCTACAATCATGCAGCTTGTTGGTGTTTTTTTTAATTTTCTGCAGGTAACATGGAGATGAATTTGTCATCATCCTTTTAGCCAATCAGAAGCAAGGAGGTGTGCCTGGCTAGAGCTTGAAGGAGGCTGGAATTAAAGGTACATTCTGGAGTTTCTGCTTAATTTTTCAGGATATAAAATCCTTTAAATGTATATTAATTAAGAACACTTAGTACAAGTTAATAAGTCTGAGTACGCTGTCCCATAAATCTAAGTGTGTTTGTATTTGTGTTTGTGACCCACGTGTGAACGAGCCGCCGTCATTATGTCTTGCTGGCGTTCTCGTAGATGACATCAGAGGTGATGGACTGCTGCTTCTTCTTCTGCCACATGAGCAGGACGCACTGATGGATGAACACGTACTGCTCCTGCACAGACGGAAGACAGAGAGGATTAACGTGGCTTTGACTTGTCCCGTCGTGTGTTATTATTAACCTTTTATATTTCTGGTCTGTAAACAGGCGCTGAGGACTGACCTCGGTCTGGACCATGGACAGACGGTGGGATCTCATCTCGGACACCATGCCCAGGATGTCGGCGAACTCGTGCTCTCTGATGTGCTGCATCAGACGATCCAGAGCGATGAAGGTCCCCGTCCTGCCGACTCCAGCGCTGAACCACACAAGAGATAGCAACCACACGCAGAGGAAATGAAGCGTTTAATGGACATGACATCATCCGTCTGAGAGCTTTTTTAATGGTTTATAACCGTGAGGAGGGGACTCAGTGTCTCTGATCGGGTTGTTAAAGATTCTCAGATTCAAATAAAATGAAGAGACGGAGACGAGCAAGAGCATCTTTAGACTTCTAACAGATGAGACTTCTGCACGACAGATCAGTTTACTGCTTCAGGGTGTTAATGAGAGGAACATATTCAACAATCATTTAAAACCGACTGTATGAGTGAGAATCTGGAATCTGCAGCAAATATTTACCAATTGTTAAGCAAAGTGGCACAACCATCTATATTTATGTTTTCCAAGGTTTGACTGTGTTTGCATCTTTTAACGGGAAAAAACATTACATTCAGAAAAGCATCTAAATGCTTTTAGTGTTTGATTAAAATCAGCTTTAATATAAAATTAAAAATTTTGTGCTAATATTTCCAGAACTTTGTCCTTTGTTGAATGCCTGCTGGGTTCTTCAGTGAATGTGATCCATGCAGCAGTCCTGGCAGTTGGCTAGCATGTTAGCAGTCGGTGTTTTGAATGTTTGGCAGTGTAACGTTGATATCCTGACCTGCAGTGGACGATGATGGGGTCTTTGGTCCGGTTGGCCTGCTGACGGACGATGTGGACGAACTGCAGGATGCTCTCGATGGCGTTGACCGTTGGGACGCCGTGATCGGGCCACGAGGTGTAGTTTAGATGGAGGATGTCCTGAGACTCATCGGCCTGCAGGGGGAGACGGATGTTAAGGACATAAATACATGACTACACAGTTTATGTGAAGTGTAGATGAAGTGGTGCTCACATATCCCAGTCTGATCTTCCTGATGATCCACTCTGGAGATTCCGTCTCTGAGAGCATCTCGGCGCTGATCTCTCCGTACATCACCGGTTCGTCTGTGAACGGCCAGTAGTGATCGCACTTCACCTGGAACACACACTCAATGTTAGAAAGAAACGCCGACCACTTGCTACTGTTCTACATTGGTATTATTATTGTTTTTGCATTTGCACCAAACCGAGATGCAATCCTCAAACTTGTATTTGTGTAGAAGGGAATAAGATTGAGACTGACCCGGCGTCGTTCGTTGCACTGTGTGAGCATGACGATGATCGGAGATTTCTGCTGCAGAACCATCTTCCAGAAATCGTTTCGAGTTTCTGGCAGTGGACCCTGAGTGGCAATGTACTCTTTAGTGTGTTTGTAACCCTGAAGGTCAAAGAAAAAGACAGAAAAGACACATTAGCTCCAATAATGAAACGCGGACAGATTAACACGATATAAATGATCCACAAACCCCTCAAAACAAACAAGTAACTGCTCCACTTTTCAGAAAACATGTGCTCAAACAGGCCGTTTGGAGATTTTCCCTTCATGACATCACAAAGGGCAGTAGCCCCTCCCCCAGGTGGGTGACACTCCCACAGCTAGGTGTTTGTTCTGCCCTCTGAGTCTGCCTTCTCACCGTAAACAATAGGACATGGAGCAAGAAAGCACTGAGTACACCCAAGCCCTTCCAGAGAGGGGGCGTGGTCAGACACAGCTCATTTACATATTTAAAGGTACAGACACAGAAACAGCCTGTTCTGAACAGGGCTGAAATAGAGGGGTTTATAGACATGATCAAATACAGGATCAGAGTAGATTTAGAACAAGAAACTTCACACACGTTTTGAGAAGCTCTGAGACTTATTTACACTGAAGAAGAGGATATGTGACCTTTAAATGTTGTCTTTATTACATTTCAGTGCTGAAACTGTAGCATCAGAGTTACTTTCTGTGGTTCAATAAAGGTAAAGATGTTTATTTATTCCTCATCCTTTTTTATGTTGCTTGATTATGTGAATTTACAAGAGGACTTCCTTTAGGCAAATGATGAAGAGGATGATGGTGAAGATACAATGACTCACAGGTATGTAGTTGGCGTTGATGTAGTCTAAACCTTCGTCGTTGTGCATCGAGATCAACTTCACCCTACTGAAGTCGTCTGTGGTCCAGATGTAAATGAAGATTAAAATCAGTCAACATGAAAACCAGCTGAAATACCACCAACAACCATCATGTATCAAACAACTCAGTACTTCTGAGTCTGTGACTCACAGGGCAGGATGTTGGTGTATCTGTTTTTGGGCCTGTTGATAGGCAGGTCTGCTGCATCATGGGAAAGATCCAGGCCAACGCTCTTCAGCTCCTGAAAAGATGAACATGTATGAAATAACTGTATGAACATGAATAAAGTTTACATGAGTAGTAAATAAAAGAAGTATATTCCTGAAAGTTCATGTATGAATGTAATGACTTATACTGAGTGTCCGTATGAAAATAAAAGTGTTCTAAGTATGTATGAAAGTATGAATAGGGAACATATGTATTACATTTCACAATGTAAGTACAGTATGTATAACTTTTTTATGTATGTTTGAATTTTTTTTCTATGTATGTATGAACAAAATGTTCTGATGTAAGTATGTATGACTTTATGTATGTATAGAAATAAATTAATGGGTGTGTACTTTTTTTGGATGAATTCATAAATATTTTCTTTATCATTTCTTCATACATAATTACATATAAGCAAACATGAATGCATTGTTGTGTTTCTACTTTCATACATTCTTTCCCCATACATAGAAACACATAAATAGATACTTTACTAATTTATAAACACAAAAACATAAATAATATAATTATGAATGGGTTATATGTTATGCAGGATGGAAAAATACATTATCTAATATTTACATACAAGCACAAAAAACAATAAAACAAATACATTTATTCAAACGTCGTTTTTTCCTATTTTTTCGACCGATATGTATGTTGTTTTTTTCATTTTAAGATGAATGTATGTAAGACATCTTTTCGATGTATTACACTTAAGTCTGAACTGCTCCTGTATAAATAAACAATAAAAAAATAAATGTGTGTATGTTTTTTTATGAATTCATAAATACATTCTTTCCTCAAACAAAA